ATTTCGTGGCTACATGTGGTTGTTCTGTTTTGGTGTGCAGGTATTATGAACTTCAACCGTGCTTTTCCATATCCGCACACCCAATCTTGGGTGTACGAGCCGAGCTATCACAGCGGGTACCACGTCTAACCTTATCGAGCAGCAGTGGGATTTCTAGCCCATCGAGCAGTCATACAAGTCCCTCGAGGATTCCTCGGAATACAATGCAAAACTAGACCAGGTCCTCGCTCTTTTAGCCTCGCAAGCGGCCTGAATGAGCAATATTAAGTCCAGAATCGAGAACCTAGTGGAGCGCGTGCAAGTCTTGGAGGACCGAGTTGACAATGTCTCTCCCGAGCTCACCGCTCAAAGTGAATCTACAGATAAAGATGAACCTCGAGAGGTTGCTTTGACATACGATGAAAAGCTCAACCTCATCCTTGCTCGCATACCTGCCCAGACCACTCGAGATGTGGAGATTGAGCTCGGATGTGCTCGACTAAGCGCACACATTGAGATTATTATAGCACATATCGACTCAATCGAGGCCCAAGTCGCCGACCCCCACTTTATGCTTGATACTCAAGCCCGTATGATGAAGCAAATGTGTGAGGCCGAAGAAGAAGACGATGAGCTCCAGCGAGACGTTGATGATATCTTAGAGGAGGAGATCGATGGGTTTGATTCTCAAGTCACTCCTCCCACCTCCGAGTTGGAGCATCCGTATTCGAGATTGTTGCACTATGTTACGAAGTGGGGAGGATTCAGTTCGACTTGCTCCACATATGTGCTTATAGTTCCAGAGGTTGACGACAGAGCTCGGATGGGAAAAGCTCTGCGTCTAGAATTGGGGATTGCTAGTGCCCGAACCAGGTTCACCAAGAACATAGCCACCCGGATCCACCGTGCCAGCCTTCTCGCCAATCTTCCCATGCTACCACTTCTCGAAAATACGAAGGCGTAGCATGATCTTCACTTTTTTTTGGATCCTGGTTGATTTTGTACAGGTTTCGTCAAGCTAATGACGTTAAACAAGCGCTTCTTGGGAGGCAACCCAAGTGATTTATTGTTTTCTTGTGTGTTTCGTTTTGAATAATGGGAGTTTTGGAGTTTTGTGATTTTCTTGCCAGCGACGAGCTTGTAGCATGGGGATTGAGCTAAAGAAAAAGACCATAGTCTGGGGTTGAGCGTGGGCAAAAGAATTGCACGTGAATGATTATCCTCATCGACGCACCTTCGGTTTGCACACCCTTTTCTCTTTTTGTTTTGGTTTCTTTTGAGTTTTGTGTTATTGTGTCCATGCTAAATTGGTTCATAATGTGAAATTTCTATGTCTTGATATTTGAACTTCCTGGTTATGTGTGGAAGCAATGAGAACATTGCTTCATTTTAAGTGTGGGGGGGTCTTCTTTGATTTTGCATGCTCATGTGGTGGACCGGTCTAGCTTTAGGTTTTTGTGTTGTCAAGCCTGTTGTGTTCTCGAGCATGTGGTATTGGTGAATTATATGATTTGTTGATAATTGTTTGATGAAATTGGGAAGTTGTGATGACGGACGTATTTATCATTGCCTCGATATTTACTTAACTGCTTTGGGTGACATATATTTACCTTGTGAGGTTTTGGCCCTTACTTTTCTTTCTTGAGAGATATTGGTCGTATTCTCGTATGATTACAACTTGCCTGGAGTCTATTTGGAAAAAAAATCGGTTAAAGTTTGAAATTGAGAAAATGGTTGAGGCGTTTTGCTTGTCAGCTCATTTTGCCTTTTTTATTATTCCTAAAATTATATTCCCTAGTAACCCATTTGAGCCTTGAGCCTTTTCTTGTCAGCCGTACATATAATGAATTTTGTCGATTGATATGCGTTATGATTGTTAAAGACGAAGTCATTGTTGAATGAGGTGAAAATCGAGTTGTATTTTATGCTTGACAACAAAAGAAAAAAAAATATAAAAAATATACATGAGAGCTCGCAAGACGAATCGATTGGATTCTACTCCGCTTACTTGTTATTCATTTTAACGAGTAATGAGTATTGGGAAACCACTTTAGGACACTTGGATGACCTCCAATGTTTAAACCTAAGGAATATTGTCCTTACGATTCGAGCTTGTTCGAAAATAGTAACTCTTAAAAAAAATGTGTAATAAGTCAAGCAATATTACAATTCGATTGGAGCATTTATGTGTTGTTTGTGGAGACATTGGTGGACGATATGTATGCTATCTGGTTGATTTTTGTCGAGTGGCGGACATTCGTGTATTCTATTACTCGAGAACTTTGATTGATTATTTGAGCTTCTTGTCCATGTATATATCCTTACCTTTACCTACAGCCCACATTACAACTCGAGAAGTCCTCTTGATTCGAAAATTTTGAGCTTTGGTTGATTCCGAGTAATATAGACGATTGGCAAGCATATGTTGAAACGTGAATATCAACCAATTTTGAGCGAACCCATCACATATTCGAACAAGAAAATGAGTGAGGCATATATGATGATCTATATGTTGAGAGTTTGTCATTTTAAGGCCAAGTCGATATTGGAGGCATATGGTCGTACGGTCGTTGGAATTTGACCCGATTGAGTGAGACATTTTGAGGCTCTTCTTATTTGAATCTGTATCCATGCTCGTGTCTTGTTTTCTTTTCTCTTTGTTCGGGACGGACAAAGGTTTAAGTGTGGGGGAGTTGTTGTGACCATTTTTATTATGTTTTTCGTTACTGTTTTGTCGTTATTTTTTCCCCGTTTTAGGTATTTTTGTTAGTTTTTAGTTCGTTTTGTAGTTTGTTGTGTGTTTTGCTCTATTTTGGCTTTTTATGTGTTTTTCGTATATTTTGTCGGTTTTCTACGTTTTTCTTCTTGTCTTTGGTGTGCAGGTCGAAAGCCCCATGAGGAATGAATTTAGCACGAAAATAGATCGAGCAATCATGCTAGCGTAGAGGAGTTCCTTAGCTACGCATAGGAAAAAACGGAATCCAATTTCGAGTTCGGACGAATCCGAACGGGGCCGAAACGTAAAGTCCAACAAACTACCGACCCTTTGAAGGTTGGAAGACCCTAGAGGATTTTATTCTGGGCAAAAGTTGAATTTGAAAGAATCATTGAATAGAAGGGTTAGTTACACGTAGGAAAAAACGGAACTCAATTCCGAGTTCGGATGAGCCCAAATGAGCCCGAAAAGCAAAGTCGCGCAGCCCAGTTTTTTCTTAGCGGCGCTAACCCCCCCTGGCAGACAACAATTTTTTACTTTTCCTCAAAATCTGGCATGTTTGGAGGGTGCTCGAAAGTGGAAGCTTGGACCAATATTTCATCCTTGATTTTGGGTTTTTGGTGCTGAAGAACATGTTCCCACTCACTCTCTTTCATCTCTCCTTGTAACTTTCATCTTCCATCTTCATCACCACCTCTCTCATCCTTGAACCAAGGGGGGTTCTCCCCCCTCTTCTCCTTCTCTACTTCTTCACCATCTCTTCTTCATCTTTCTTTCTTGGGTTTTTCTTAAGTTTTTACTTGGCTTTCTTGGAGAACTTATTAAAGACTTGGTGATCTTGGATTTGGCTTGTACTTTGTTCTTGACGTTGGAGTTCACATTAATAATAAGTTCTATTTTCATTGAGTTAATGATGATTATGGTTTTGTTAAATGTGAATTCTTGTGTTGAATCAATTATGAGTAGCTAATCCTCTAGCTAGGGTTAGGGGATAATCATTCCGGTTTGTTCTCGTTTATGTGCATGATGATGGCTCAATCTTGACGAGTTGCTTTAATTATGAATTGATAAAATCATACTCGATAAATTGTTATAACCTAAGAGTGACACTTAGGTTAATTTGTTGATATAATCGAAGAAGTAACACTTCGATTTGTGGTTAAATATTGATTTGTTGAGTTAGAGTTTGTTAATTCTACGAATTAGCGACTTTTAGAACTGAAAGAGGAGGAGTCGTAGAATTAATCGATTTCAAAACCGAGAAGGGAGAAATTGGTGGAATTTGGCTCGTTTAGAGTAGACATGTTCAGAGACGTATTGTCTATGAGTTAATTGTTTCGTTAATTAATTCGTTTATGTTTATTCGCATGTTACGAAGAGTTATTGAGGATAAACCGCTAAATGAGTTAATTAGTCGAGCCTTTTAACCGAGTTATTGATTGCCGTTAAATGTGTGTAGAACCAGAAACGATTATTCCCGATTCCCTAGCTTCTTTATCTTTGTGTCGTTTATATTTTTAAGTAGATTGTTGTTTATTTGATTTCTTAGTTAATAATTCATTAAAAATCAATCTTTTGATTAGTATGTTTAGGACTTATTTTCCTTTTATGTGTTATCAATACCATTTCTAAATTCCGAACCGGCTTCCTCGAGAGATCGACCCGGAAAACGAATCATTCGATTCGGTGCTTGGTAAAATAAAAATAATTTGCTACAACATGACTCATCATTCCCTCCAAAAGGTAGACTTTGCATAATGAGATAACGCAAGCAAACAATTGATGCATTTAATCTACAACGATAATCAATTTTAGATTGATTTGTTGCTTTAGAAACAGACACATCAACATGTTTGAGCTTGATTAATCAAATTTTGACAAGCAACTCTACATTTATGATGATCACTATTATGATTCCCATCATGATCTCATAACCTTTCCTTCTTCTGTCAATTATTAAATCTTCCCAATGCAAAAGCAGTGTGTCCTCTTTCACTACTCCTCATAGAAATAAAATAACAATATAAACAGTTTGGAACATCTTTCACAGTGCTATAATCAAACTAATCCTTGAATTCATCAAACCAAGATGCAACAAATTTACGTATTTGATTTCCATCTGGAGTTTGATGAAAATCATGCTCACGTGGTTGACATGGACCTTTTAACAAGTAAGCTCTACGAACCTGTTGTTTAAAGTTTAACAGATAACTCTTTATGCTAGGTCGTAGTCTAGGATCACTTGGAAGATTTTTCAAATTAAAGTCCGCATTATCTTGATTTGATGATGAAACTTGAGAATCACCACAAATGGGAGGCGTTTTGGATGGTGGGGATAATGCGGCCATCGTAGGGCTTTGATTAATGAGGATGATGTTTCAACACTCTGTGACAATCTCTTATAAAATCGTTCCATGATCTAAATTTTAACATAAAAAAAATAGAATATGTGTTAAAAGGCATAAGATATACATGTTTCGTGTTGTAAGATGTGTAACTAGTGGAAAATTCAAAAGCCAAATGAGAAAATGTGCTTACTAATATCAAACAAGCTTTTATATAATGGAAATGAATCAACAAAGCCCAACTCTCCATAAAACAAAACAAAAAAAAAAGATATTAGCATTTTTTTTATTAGTCTTTTCGGTAAGAAGTACTCAAGTCTCAAGCCACAAATAAAATGCCTCAATGGAACAGACCTGCCACTGTAAGTCCCTTCAAACTGAGCAAGAAAATTGAAACCGGAAATTATTCATACATTCATCCGAAAAATCAAGATTTTAGGCGAATTTTAGTCACTCATAAACATCCAATTCCAATAAAAGGTTTATTAGCATCCCCGTCTGATTCAACATTCTAAAATTAGGAAAACAAATACTTACTCCGAAGTCGGACGGCCAAGACGGGGATGAATTGAAGTCGGGCGGCCGAACGGGATGAACAGAAGTCGGACGAACGATGGGACGGAGATAGAACTCTTCTCAAATCTTAAGGGGCTGGTTANTATCTTTTGCTTTTGCTCCTCTGTCGGAGACAGTTTCTAGTTTTTATCCATATATTTTATTTTTTTCTTATTACTATGAATTAAAAATATACCCCTGAATTATTTAAAAATTTCAGGAAGACCCACTGCCTCCTCTGGCCTGTTACAGCTCCGTCTCTGATTCAAGTCATCCCACAAAAATATGTTGAAAAAGTACTTCACGACACCAAGAATAACCTTTAATTCTTTCACCATTTATGCATAATAGATACATTTTTCGAACTGTTAATTATTTTTCTAAAATTTATTATAGAGTTGTCGGTTATTAATTTGTTCGGGTTGTAAGCAAGTTTACGTTCAATAAGGACTTTGAAGAGGATAAAGTAAATTTTCATGCCCAACATTTTATAAGATAACAACTTTTTTATGTGTTATAATTCTCATATTATCTTATAACATTTAATTTATGTAATTTCAAGAATGAATATAATCGGTACATTGCAAGTCGCAAGAGTGATGCACTAGTTGAAGTGAGCAAAGTCATTATAAGGACGGCCGAGATTAGCGGGGAGAACATGATGTATCACATGTTCTGATTGGTTGGGACCCACATTAATCCAACGGCCACGCACGACCCTCACTATTCCCGCCAATCACTTCTTTTTTCTTTTTCCCACTGTGCATGTAAACATACACAGAAGTTCAAGTGCCCCATTTTTACCTCTTTATTGGCCATTTCAGTATTGTCATTCTCAAAAGATTTCATTCCTTAAAAAAATAAAATACGAAATTTAATTAGATCTCTTCCTTTTTTTTTTCTATGTCATTTTCGAATATCGTTTTAATTCTTGACGATTATAATAATTCATTTGATGTTTTTTCAACTTTATAATTTCTAACTGCGGTCTGTGGTTCAAGTTAAACCCATTCACTCGCTCTCTCAAACTCTCTTCTTCATTTTCTCCCATGCACGGATCACTTACTCTTCTACATTTCCACTCCAAACCATTTTTTTTTTTTTTTTTNTTTTTTTTTTTTTTTTTGCTCTTACAAAATTAATGATACGATTCATCTCTGTTCACTAATCCGAGCACTGATCAGGTAAAAATCCGAGCTCCAGGAATCAGATTGAACTCCGAAATGGTAATTAATTGCAGAGATCTGAAAATTCCATGTTAATTCTATTCCGAATTTATTCGAACTTCATTTCGAATTTATTGAACAGTTGTGCTTGAAATCCCGTGATTTGCGCCTGATTATTGCTGCGTGTGTGCAGGCGGGGTGTAATTTCCAGGTGAAAAGGAGTAAAACGGCGTCGGATTGGGTGAGGAGTCTGCTGAGGAGCAAATTCTTCGTCTCGTGCGTGGATCACGGGCAACTGAGAAAGAGCGAGAAGAATCTGTTCTGCATAGATTGCAACCTATGCTTATGTAAGCATTGCGTCACTTCTCATGCTCGCCACAATTGCCTTCACCCCCTCCTCCAAATCTGTAAATACGTGTATCGTGACGTCGTTCGCCTCCAAGATATTCAACCGCACCTCGATTGTTCTCTGATTCAAGTTAGTACTTCATATTTTTTGTAATTTTTTTTCTGTTCTTATTATTTTGGCCCAATCTCGTTTTGGAATCAAAAGTTACGGAGAGTAACGGTTTGAATTATTCAGATTTGTAAGGATATGCAATTGGATTGAATTTTGGCAACATACGTAGTCCTGTTTGCGTCTGATTGGGTGACTTTTCGTTATAACAAATTTTGGATTTGTTTAGTTCTTGTTTTATGGTATTTTACTCATTTAGGGATTACCCATATTTGGAACAAACTTTTTGTATCCCTCCTTTTGTACTGGGGTGCTTATTTGCAATTAGTGTTTCTCCATGCTGAAATAGTGTTAGAGGACAGAAGTAATTGTTTGAAAAGAATAAAATTCACCAGGTCCGGATATTGGACTGATTGCTGACAACTGAATTTTATTCCAATACTTGGATTTGTCATTTTATTAAGCGGGGAAGTTAAGGGCATAGTCAGTTGGACATTCATTAGAAAAACATACTTTTCTACAATAATAAAGGTTTTTGAATAGGTATTAGATAATTATGTTAAGGAAGAGTACTTTAGAAGAATAAATTCGTTTTATCTTTATCTGTTAGTATTGTTTGTTCTTCACTTGTACTTGGCATGCAATGTATGATACGTTGCACAACAAAGTTATGATTAAGGATCTAAATTACGAACACGACGTTGCAGCAAAGAAAAGAAGAAGGAACATAATAGAACGGGTTCACTAAAATTGAATGTGTTAACTTACAGGCATACAAAGTGAATGGGGAAAAGGCCATCCACTTGAATCCAAGACCTCAACTAAAAGATGTAAAAAGTTCAAAAGCAAAAGTTGGTGGAACTTGCTGCGAAGCTTGTGGGAGGCACATACAAGACTTTCCAAATCGCTTTTGCTCCATTGCCTGCAAAGTAAGGCATTAATTCATTCATACAGCTGTAACTAATTTCTCAAAAACCACCACCTCCTCATTTACAATTAACTACACAAACTACCTCTGTGTGATGTTTAACCAAGTAAAATTTCGCCATACGAGTTTTTTATGATGAAGACAAATTCATACATATCTTTTTTCCATTGTTTATGTATATTTACAGCGCATTGTGCTTGCAGATTTCAACATACTCAGCGATGACAACAAACCGAAGCCACAAGATCATATATTCCAAAGGTGGCCAATTGCCCAATCTGGAACAGGAAGAAAGTTCCTTTCATGAAAATGGATATGCTTCAAGCTCCTTCTCTGTAGCTGAGTCTTCGTCTGAGGTAATACAGACATGGTTAAGTACAGCTTTGAAGCCAAGGAAAATATTGCACAAGAGAAAGAGTTTGCCTAGGAGGGCTCCAATGTGGTAAATAAACACCAATTAAGGAAAAATATAAAGAAAATAAAACAAAAGAAAAAAGCTTTAAGTAAAAGATTCACTGTTTCTTTTATCTCCTTCCACCAATCATATATTTGTCTGGGACGTGAAAACATAGTTTTGTTTCGTAATCAGAATAAAGCCTAAGTTTTTGTTTTGTTGAATATAGCAACACCCCATACTATTTTGTCATGCTTTGGTTGTACAGATAAAGATTTTCTTGATTAAGAGTATCATTCATGTAATTACTCTTTTTCGGCCTTTTTCGTACTTCAATTCTCTTACCCACTAGCTTTCACCACACTCTACGGATTTTTTTCTTAAAAAAAAAAAACATAATTGTATATGTATATATATATAGAGAGAGTTATATATTTAAGATTATGCATTGAGTATGTATTGTGGTGGCAAGAATATGATTAATTTGAGGAAAATGACATGTTTTAGACTAATATGTGGCGACATTTTGTTTGGGTGTAACTCTTTTTTTGAATTATGATAGTTTATGTTTGTTTGGTTAGAGGGTGTCGGAAAATAAAGATCTTTGTCGGGTCGATGGTGTTGTCTAAATTTGTCCATTTTTGAGGCAATTGTGTTTTCAGGTTGGGCCCATTATAATCCCATGTTTAGTGGGTAAAAGAGGTTTGGATTAATGGGTTCACATGGGAATTTGATGAACATGTGAAACACACATACACACACAAAAAAGAAAAAGAGTGAAATTGTAAAATATCCTTTGTATCAATTTAAATAATATCTGAACATTCTGCCATTTGAAAGCAC